CTTTCTATTTATGGGATAAATGTGTCATTGATGGCTCTGGCATGCTTGGTCCATGTGTTTCAGGGGAGTTAGGGGGTGCCGGAGCCCCGCTGAGCTGCTCAGCCCCTCTCTGGGGCAGCTGCATTGCAAACCCTCAGGACCCTGGAGCAACTCTGTGCCCTCCGCAGCACTTGGCCTCTCCTGATTTTCAAGAAGATTTGCTATCCCCACCCCGATCGGCCGAAAATTTACTGCCCAGAAATGCTTATTAGCGAGGCTTGATTGAGTTTGCTCAGCAAACGTCTAGACATAAACTCTTGCGAGCTGCGGAAATCGATAGCAATCAGCTGGGATGCGGCACGGGATGCTGCGGAGCCAGGCCAGGGGCGTAAGGCGAGGCATTAGCAAATGCAGTTTTGCTCCTGGGCCCCCAGAGGGAATGCAATAAATCACCTGCTGCTGATGTCACCCAGCAAGCATTCACCAGGATGGTTTTTATTTAAAAATTAAAAGCTGAGAGGCGGGGGGGATGTTGGCTCACTGCCCTCCTGGGAGGGCTGGAGTGAGAGAAATTTGTTGGAGGGTGGTTGAGCTGTGCTGGGTCATGGGAAAGGGGGATGGACAAGGTGGAGCTGGGAGGGAGTTTTACTCTCCAAAAGCAGTCCTGGGATACTGCGGCTCGGAGCAAGCTGACGCTGGGGGAGTTGCTTGTCAGGCCAGAGCTGGTTTGGCCCTTGGTGGTCCAAACCTGAGCATCTCAAAGCGTCATGTGTTGATCCTGTAGCGCATGGTGATGTTGAACCCTAAAATGAAGTTTGAGAGGCTAAATATCTTCCTAAATTCAGGCAGGGGTGGGGTGATCAATAGTTTGAGGAGCCAGTAATGCTGGGGGCATGGAGACGGGCAAATCGAGGGGGCTGAAGGGTTCCATCGCAGGGCTGCTGCTTGAACCGGTGTGCTGAGAAACCTGGATGCTGGGCTATTGTGTCCATCTGTTTTGCTTTCTCAAATGGCAAAGACATGCGGATGCATCCCAGTGGGGTACCAGCTCCTTGACGCTGCCTCCATGCCGAGCATCTCATCTGCAGGATGGTGGGGGTGATGGATGGGTGCTGAGCTCCACCTGAAACACCAAGGCACGGGGATAATGACTTTTCTCATCTCACCATAAGCTGTGACTAATGTATTCCTAGGCACGAAGAGGGAGGCTCCGCTGGCTGCTCAAATGCCTTGCACGTGTTGCAGAGCCAGACAGCTCCCTTATGGTCCCAGGGCCTGGGCAGGGCACCAAGTAGGTCGATAACGTGCTGTGGGTGATCTCTCAGTTGCTGGGATGGCTGAGGAGCCGTCAGCCCCAGGGATACCTCCTGCTGCAGCCCAGCAGGGATGGAGGAGAGGGGACTGAGCTTGCCAGCACCCTTGGGAACTTTGCAGCAGAGCACCAGGCTCAGTTAAGGGGAATCAGCCCTCAGGTCAGCAGAAGTGGGTCTCTTCCTCTGGGAACCATTCCCATTTCATTTCCAGCAGGTCTACGAGGTACCGAAGGGAAGGAGCCAGCTTTTGGAGATATCCTTGGCAGTTGGACTTGGTTGCAAGCCCATAGAAGATGGTTTGTTTCCAGTCTCCCTGGACCAGCTGGCAGCGAGGCGCCCATCCCAGAACAGCAATCTGTTGCTGTCAGGGTACAAGGAATCACAGCCTTTCTGCATCAAACAAATAGGTTTGCACACAGCTTGC